ATGCTCTCGCAAAGAAGGGTATTTCCTGCCTTGCGCCGCATACGTCTCGACCGCCATCCCAGCAGGCTCACCTTGGCGGGTTTTCCGGCGTTCAGAGCTGCAGTAGTGACTCCCTGCAGCCATCCATGTTGAGGTTTCTCGGCACCCTTCGGGTCGAAGGAGGAGTCTGCGATGACAAAGTGCCGGATCGCCGACTCTTTGATCGGGTGGACCTTCAGGGAGAGCGGGTGCGCCTTGAGCTTGTGAACGACGTCGTTGACCCGGTGGATGTCCCCGATCGTGGCCTTGCCGAACACCCCGGAGTAGATAGACGCCGCTGCGCTAGCGTCAGGGCGACCTTCGCGAGCCACCCAGTTTATGGCTGCGACTGTGCCACGGAGTTGTGCTTCCTCGCCGTCGTTGATGCGCACAGTGTCGGCATCTTTCTTGAAGATCTTTCGATCACACCGCACCGGCTTCAGGCGCTGGTCGATGTAGTCGTCCATGGTGTACCTGAAACCCCAGTCCTTGTCCTGGTAGACGCGACGACCAGCGTAGGACGTGCCCTCCGGCTGCTCCCGAAGGCACTGGATCTTTCCAAACTTCACCTTGTTCTCCAGACGTTCCATCAACTGACGATGGCGAGGACCGCCAGCCTCCAACAAGTCATCGACCTCTATCACAATGATGCCCTGCGTGCGTTTGAGGCTCTCTCGCACCTTAAGGCACCGGAGAGGTCCGATTGTGTGGTCCAGCTCGCTGTCCTCGTCGTCGGAGTTGCCGTCGAGGGTGAGGACGCACCGGTCATAAGGGTTTACCCGGTAGCCAAAGTACTTGACCAACAGTTCCAGCAACGACCTTCTCCACCAAGCCGGCCCACTCACCAGGCCGTAGACTTCCGTCTCCAAGCGTATGAGCTGCCTGCCATCGTAGCCCTCAAAAGCTTCGTCAGAAGGCATTTTGCATGCCAACTTTTGTTTTCTGGTGGTGGGCTTGCCTTGCAAAAAGGCGGTTTTCACGTCTTTGACCCATGCCGGCCAAGAGCGGCTTGCGCTCATTTGCATGAACAAGTACATGCTCAACGTGAGCGGCGTAGGCGCCGACCGCTCCACCTCATGTATTTGAGGATCGCGCCATCCTACGACGCACCACCTGGATTTAGGTCCCAGCTTGGCCTTGAAGTCGGCGTTGATGTGTTTGATGTCGAAGTCTTTGGGAAACGTAACTCCATCTTCCGGCTTCCAACGATCCACGTAGCGGGAGGTGAGGACGTGCTCCGGGTGCTCGCGGGCGAACTTAAGGCTGTCCTCGACGCTGAGGATTGTAATGGCGCCTGAGTCGAGGAGGGATTTCACTTCTTTAGCCCTTGACCTTCGAAAGATTGCTTTCTCCTCGGAGTTCAGCTCGCGAAA